ATATATATATATATATATATATATATATATATATATATATATATATATACACATACCCTGCCGATTCTTGCCATGTAATGCCTGGTGTTTTTTGAGGACTCTACCAATAAGAAGGCCAATAGCATAAGTGGTCCACTAGAACTGTGGACCTAGAACTGTGAGCCAAGATAGACTTCATCTCTTTATAATTTGCATCATGTTTTATTTAGAAACAAAATTACTCAAGACACACATACACACACACACACACACACACACACACACTCACTCAAAGTGAGTGTTTTCAGCACTTTATCTTCACAGTTTCTACCAAGACATCAAAGCTTTTAAAATTCTATGGTCTCTTTCTGACAATTTCCATCAAACTGGCTTCTTTTTGTGAAATTTATCATACCATATATAAATATCAATCTTTACTCTGCCTAGTGGGTAAACATTATTTCTCATAGCTGTGTTATCTATCAGTGGGATACCATCAAGGGTCATTATAAGGCAGATGGTATTGTACTATATAAAAGTGGCACACGTATGTTTTTGTTGTTGATGTTGTGATGGTGGTAGTGGTAATCTCAAAACATATGGAAAAATGTAAGAAGAAACCTGTAGTGCTGAGCCATCTGTAGTGGTCTTTTTTTAAAACTTTACTTTATTTGTGGTGTTTAGGCCTCTCCTCCCTTCCATCAACCCCCACATCAACCCCTGGCATCTCTTCCACGCCGCTGTACCCCAAAGCATTTCTCTCTGTCTCCTCCAAACCGCCACACTATCTCTGGTCTCTCAGGTCTCTTCTCTCCAAACTGCTACATACCACATGCCAACACAGAACACCACACAGAACGCCACACAGTCTTTTTCTCAGCCACATATTTATACTCTCAGAGTCCTAGACCACGCCTCTCTCCATGCTGCACATGGAAGGCCATTACCAGCTGGCAAAGATTACGCCCAGCACATGACAATTGGCAGATGTGGACAAACTACAGCCCAACTAAAATCCCATACTTGGGATTAAAACAAAAGCAGATTTTCATAACATAAAAACAAATAAGCAAACCCTTCATTATAGAAACATACTTTAAATACGTTTTAAGTAGACATTTCCAATTTTTCAGTGGAATAGGCAGCCTTTGGTAACAAATAGTTGTGTTGCAGCCAGTTTGGTTTTGGTTCTTGTTTGTTTGTGTGGGTATTTGTTTGTTCTGGACTTGAGTTTGGCTTAAGAACAACTTTTACCATTAACATTTATGTTAATGGACTTCTAATTTGTTTATCAGCATAGAATAAATGACCAAAGGTTTGGATTTTGAGCCTTTAGGAAATGTAAGTGCCAAGATGTGTGACAGTAATTGTTTATATTTACAGATGTAATTCTTTTCAAATGTGGGCTGATTGAATCATGCATTGATACACTCTTTCATTCAGCATATTTCTATGTCCCAAGAGCCCACACTCTCTCTGCAGAGACATGATGAATGTGCTGCCTCTATTAGCTCAATGATCCTCTCTAGCGAGACACTTTCACATTACCAGGATGATAAAACCACTATTCTGTATAGTCACCAAGATGCTGCTTTCAACATTTACACTGAAGCAGGATTTAAAGATTCATTTTGTCTGAGGGAACTGTTAAAAAAGTAAGTGATGATCATAAAATGTTATTGACACTGATTCCACTGCCATCTAGGACAGGAGGAGGAAGCAAAATTCATAGTATGGGACAGAATGAATATATCAGAACTACAATGAGTCTCTTGTTCTTGCTGCCTTTAGAAATGGCTATTTAGGTCACCAAGTACTTTTGATGGCAAACTGACTGACTTTCCTTTTTCTTACTTTGCTGAATTTGATCCTTAGTAAGTCTCTCTTTTTTTAAGCTAAGGAGACTTTATAAGATGCAGAAATGAAAGAGACAGACAGAAAGGAAGAAAAAATGACATGAGAATAGGAAGTAGGGAAAAAAGAAAGAAAAGTGAGGACCATAGAGGCTTTGTTCTAGAGGGCTCCATGATACTTCTCTCATAGCCCAACTGGCTCTTCTCCCAGCCATTCCTGGTCAGGGACTTGTTGTACAGTGCAGAATTCACCCTGAGCATAAGCTATTTGTAGGCTTTCCTCTGGATTATTACTCTTTTGTGGCTACCGTTACGATGTTTATGATAATGAATTTTAAATATGAAATTTCTTTGGTGGAGCTTCACCAGAGTAAGACCCTAACTCAATGAAGGATGAGGTTCACATACAGTGTCTTTTCTGGTGTTTCCACAAAATGCTTACTATATCTTTGTTTTTAACCTAACTGTAGTTTTATGTGGCTAGTAATACTCTTTAGACATAAAACAAGCACAATGTCAATTTAGGGAAAACAAGAATACAAAAAAAAAAATCCCAGAAAGAAAATTAAGTGATGATAACTTTTTGTTTACTGACTAATTATGCTGGTACTTCTAGGGGAGTGGCAATGGGTTTCCTTTAAACCATATTTTGCGAAGATCTATTGTTTGGTTACATGGCTTCTTTGCTTTTTAATTTATTTGACTGACTTTCATGCCTTGTTTCAAAAGTACTAGCAGTGGTATTCCTATTGCTAAATAGAAAATAGCCCCCAAGGTTCTTGACCTACAGAACAACTCCACATTCGCCTGTGTTCTCTGGCTTGGTTGAGACTCAATGGAATGATCCATTTTGGCTGTTATCATCCAGTAATCGGACAGATACCTGGACCAGAAAGCAAACTCAGAAGGCACCAGGGTTTCTAGGTCTTGTGAAGTGTCATTTCTGCAACTATACTATGTTGAAGTAAGGTGTAAGGCTAATTCTACTTCTTTCTGGAAGGTACATATTAGAAGGTCTAGACTTTTTGGTGACTATTTTGGGAGACTATTATGGATGGCCACTAAAAATCTTGAACTCAGGACCAACTCTCATCTCAAATAAGATAAGGATGTCAAATCGTTAATGAAAGGAAATTTTGACTTTTATAACTAAAAAGCTCTTTGAGAGTCTAAAATGACAGATGACATGGTTCAAACACAATAGCAAACCTTTTAATTTTTAAAAATTCTTATTACATATATAATTATGGACGTATTTTATTTTATTTTTTTTTCAGTTAATGAAAAACTATTATAAATGGCGAGCAGAATGTCCAGAATTAAGTGCAGATCTACACCCTAGAAGTATCATTGGACTTTTGAAGGCTGGCTACCATGGAGTTTTGAGGTCCAGAGATCCTACCGGCAGTAGAGTTCTTATTTACAGAATTGGTGAGTCATAATAGCAGTTTTCCTCCCTCTCATTTTGTTTTCACTTCTCTCGTTCATTACTAGGTGTTCTGGTGTTTGTTTTGGTCAATGTCTTATCTGACATTAGCACATATCTGACTATAGCACAGTTCCATAGACGAGTTGCTTAGAAAATTGAAATTTAGTTCTTAGTGCTGGAGGCTGTGAACTCCAACATTGAAGAACCAGTGATTTTGTTGTGATAAGGGCCTGTGCTCTGGTTCACAGAGATTTCCTCACCCTGCACTCATACAATGTAAGGAGAACAGTATAGGGGTGTCTTAAAAATAGCACTAACCCTATTCATAAGGATCCTACCTTTGAACCTAATGAGTTTTCCAAATCTGTTTCCTAATACCATAAACTACATTAAGATGGCTCAGCAGCTAAAAGTACTTGCTACAGAAGTCTGATGGCCTGATTTCAAACTTTGGAACCCATAATGAAAGGGAAGACCTCACTCCAAAAATTATCCTCTGATTTGTACATGTGCACCATGGCACATACTTCTGTGTGTATGTGTACTGGGGGGGTGGGTGCACACAAAGAAATACCATAAACTTGGAGGTAGAATCCTAGCGTGTGAATTTGAAAGATACATAAACATTTATATCCATAACTGATGACCCATAATCTCTGCCACATCTTTAGTTCTGTGTGGTTAAACTTTCAGGTGACAGCACAGACCACAGACATTGCATGGCCTTCGGTGTAACAAGGGCCACAGACTACACAGCCAGAGGCTGTGTTGATGTCTGTGGCCCATGTGGCTCCTGTTACCACAGGAGGTCATGTGGATTTTCGTGGTCAGTGCTGCAACCTGAAGCTGTGTTGATGTCCATGGAGCAGGCGGCTGCTGGAGGACCATATTGGTGTCTGTGGCCCATGTTGATGTCCTTGACCTGTGGGGCTGCTGAGGGCTATAATGGTGTCAATGGCATGCTGCTGCAGAAGTTGATATCTGTGGTCTGTACTGGCACCAGGGACCATGCTGACATCTGTGACCATGCTGATGTCGGAGATCATGTAGAAGTCCATGATCCGTGCTCCTGCTGACTGTAAAGACCAAGGTAGTTACTTTTGCAGTGATATTGATGACTGAAGACTCACAGTTGAAAAAGGGGCATGGAAGGTTTCTGTGACACCCCCCCCGCCACACACACACACACACACACACACACACACACACACACACACAGTAACAGCCTAGAAAGGAAGCCACTGAGGAGACCTCCTAAAAATTGTGTGGATGCTGAAATATATGTAGCTCTCCACAACTGATGACTTCTGGCCAGGTTCTGTGTGGGGAAGGGCTCAGTTTTCTTTAAGGAGCTGGCCACTGTGAGTTTAACCATGTTTCAGTAAGTATACGGGCAGCACAGATTGTATTCTTCTTCTTTTCCTCCTCCTTCCTCTTCTTCTCTTCTTCCTCCTCCTCTTCTTCTTCCTCTTCCTCCTCCTATCCTCTTCTTCTTCTTCCTCCTTTTCCTCCTCCTCTTCCTTCTCTTCCTCTTCCTCCTCTTCTTCTTGGATACCAGGAAGAACTGGGAGGTGAGTGTAATGGGGTGCATGATGTGAAATTCCCAAACGAAAGTATTGCATTGGAAAACAAACAAACCAAAACAACCAACCAAATTAAAACAAACAGACAAACAAACAAAACTTTCAGGTGAAAGGAGAGAATCCCATTTTTCCAGCATGTCCTCATAGTCCAGTTGAAGAAACACAGTTAACCAACATTTCAGGAACAGAATTTCTTCAAATTGTATTCACAAATATACTCTCTGTCTGTCCCTCTCGATGGAGTCTCAAAATATTACTCACACTAACTTTGAGTTCAAGTAGCTTTGAACTTCTGGGCTCAAACTATCACCCTGCCTCAGCCTACTCCCTCGTGCAATCATGGGAAGGTGCCACAATGCACCGCTCTTTTCTTCTTCCTTAATATTTAAGTGTTTATATATTAATGATCACTGCTTACCTCTGTATGCAATCTCTACCTTTCCTTCAACTGCTTCATGTTTCTTAAAGAGAAGATGCTGTTTTTAACTCTTGAAAGTCTATGTACTTTGACTAGAGTACTATGACTGGAGTCTATATTTCTTGCCCCAGATTACATATTAAATAAAAATGAATTAATCATGGAGTCTTGGCTTTTCTGTCCTTCTTCTGTTCCATCCATGTCAGAAGAAGCTTCTTAGGAATGGGCTGGCCAGCATATATGTTTGAGTTAGCAAAGAAACCAATATATTATAAAAACTTAGGGTTACCAGTTCAATTCAAATTTCAGAGAAACCATAAACAAGTTTTTAGTATGCCTGGAACATACTTATATTAACTCTTAATTTAAGTGGTGCTTATATTTTACATGACAACTGTGCTTAGGTTACAAGAGCACAAAACTGAGGCATACAGATGTTTTATTTCTTTCTGCCTGCCTCCTGCTTTTTTAAGTGTCTAGGCTTTGGAGTACCTGGCTGAGTAGTTGTTGTTTATTTTGTGTTTCTAGTGTAGAAACTAACTGAAACAAAAAGAAGTGAAAACAATTTTTGTAGTAAGAAAGCCAATGTGTGTGTGTGTGTGTGTGTGTGTGTGTGTGTGTGTGTGTGTTTATCACAAATATCATAGCAGCAAACTAACAGGTCTATTGTACAGCCTGGGCCTCTGGGAGTATAGTTATTTAAAAGTGTTTTATTTAGGAGCTGTGAAGATAGCTCAGTTGGTAAAAGACTTGTGATGTAAACATGAAGACCTGAGTTCAGATCTCCCAAACTCATTGAAAAGCTAGCGTATGCTTCAGTACTTGTCTGCAGCCCAAGTCATGGGGACCCATGGATCCCTGGACCTTGCTGGCCCGTCCGTCTGCCACAATCAGTGAGCTTCAGACTCAAAAAAATAAGGTATAGAACGACAAAGATACCCAACATTGAACTCTGACCTTCATGTATAGCCATGTGTGCATGTTACACACACACACAAAATGTGTCATTTAATTCAAAGATATTTAACATCAAAGATACGTAGGTTTAAGGAAGGTCAGAATAGAAAAGTATGTTGCAAGTCTACTGTGTGCTATGTTATTCTAGAATGAAAAGAAGAAACTTAGAATTTTGTGAATAAAATAAAAGGACAGAATAAAATATTTTCTCAATGTAATTGAATTAATGATGTAGCTACATCTGTGATAGACTTTTTTTTACAGAAGCCCAGTGTAGCCATCTCCCCTCTGTACTGTGTTGGTACAGTAAAAGCAGTGAGAAGATGCAGAGCCCTTGCCTCTACATGGACCTTTATCAGACCTATGACAGAGGATGTAATTTGTGACCTTTGCGATCAACTACTAAACTACAGCAGCAAAAGCAAATTTTAATAATGAAGTTTCAGTTTTAACCATACTTGAGTTATTATGAATTGAAGCTATGGGGCATGTTGACTTTATTGAAATCTGTAAAATGCATGTACTAAAACCCTACACAACAGAGTTGCTGTGAGAATTACATCTTGTTTTATACAGTACATACATGCACACACACATATACTATAACAAGAACATTATCTGGGGCACAATGAATAATAAATGCAAGGTAGATGCTAGGGAAGTAATTAAAATTCTAGTTTCTCATGTCTTTCTTTATGGAGAGTACTTGATTAGCCAGTACTGTGCAATAGAGCCTTCTGGAAAGATCCTGTTTTACTGTACCCACTAGTTTATACATAACTATTGAGAATTTGAACTGAAGCTACTGGAATGAGAAACTGAACTTTTAATTTATACTCACAGAAAGTAAATACAGGGCAAAACAGGCCAGACAAGTCAGTTGGCTCAGGAATTAGTCAGAAATTGTTGTATGATCTGCAGATTTCCTTTGTTGCACTCATATTTCATCACAGTAGCATTCATCTGAAGTTGTGTTATATTTTTGAGCTGAATTCCCATATTCTTACTAAGAATCCAAGTTGCTGTAAAGCAAAGTGACATCCCACCATGACTTCCTATAAATTCCATGGCCATTTTCTAGATCTGTATCTTTTTCCTCAAGGCTCGACAATACCAACTGACATTTATAATTGTCAAGTTTCAGCCTCTAAAAACAAAAACTCTTCCTCAGTCCCACTTAATCCAGCCTCCCCCCACCTTCCTCCCGGGCACCTCTGGTTTCACTGTTTCTGCCTGTGGCCAGACTGCTTGTGTCCCTGCATCCGACCAACCTTACTTCTCAAGATCCTTATGTGTGCCTTGGTCTGGCTTCATTCCCACCTCTACTGAAAGGACCTGAGGCTAAGCAACCCTCTTTCCAGCAAATCTGATAAACAAACCATACTCTATTTGGCCTCAGCAGCCAGCCAGCACTTCTCTCTTATGAACTACATTATTCTGTGTCACTGTTGCCATGCATTCCAAGAGTTTTTTCTTAAACTAAACTGCATTCTTCATTTCTACCCTAGGAACCACCTGTTTTATTATTATTATTATTATTATTATTATTATTATTATTATTATTATTATCAATTTTATCAGCCTCTTGAATTCTGAAATCTGAGAGTACAGTAGCCTCAGATTTCATTACATATGTATCTCATTTTTACAAACTAAAAAAAAAATAGTGCATTTGTGTATATCTGTGAAGGGGTATGTGCACATTAGTAAAGATAACCCATAGAAGCCAGAGACAATATGGGATCTGCTGGAGCTAAGATACAGGAGGCTGTTAGCTGCTCGTGAGCAACGTGAGTGCTGGGAATGAAATTCGGGTCCTCTGAAAGAACAGAGGAGTTGTAATTGCCGAGGCAGATTCTAGCCAATTAGCTTCTCTTTCCTGTAACAGAGATATTTAGATCTATTCTAGCCAATCCCTGTCATAGGTGCCATATAAGCACAAACACCAACAGAATTATTTCTTTACCGTGTTTTATTCTTTGAAGATCAGATCAATACAACTGGTTATCTGTACTACTCGCATCAGTTGGCAGTCACTCAGTCACCATTGTGGAATGTGTATATGTGCTTTTTCCACTCCCCAAACACCATCTCAATAAATAGCACATCCCATTTAATTGGAGGCCTAAGCAAGGATATCTGAGTTTCTGAGCTTTTACAATTTCTTTGTTATTAATCATTTTCTTTCTTTTATTCTTCGTCCCTTCCTTCCTTCCCTCTTTTGACAGGAGCTCATAGAGCCCAGAGTGGCTTTGAACTCACTGTATAGCTGAAGATGTCCTTTTTAACTCCCAATTCTCTGACTTCTACCTTCCAAGTGCTCCCACCATGCTGGTTTCTCAAACTGAGCTTATGTGGTCAGGCTTGGTGGCAAGGGCCTTTACCCACTGAACCATCTTTCTGGCCCTATCTATTCTTCTAGATTCCACTCTCCTCTTCTTACATCTGTTGACAACTAGTTTCTTCTTTTAATTCAGTTTTCTCTCTTAATTGTTTCCTTGAATTTTTTTTTTTTTTTTGCTTTGTATATGGAGTTTGGTGCCTGTCTTCTTTGTGAATCATAAGACAATTTTTAATAAATCTGGATTATTTTAAAAGACCACTTGTTTGCCTGTCCATTACTGTTATCATTTCTGCCTGCCATGACCTGTCTTATAGATGGTGGGGAGGGACAGGTTGTGTAGACAAGACTATCAATACCTCCTCTCTCCATAGGAACTCTTTGTTTTTTCTGGGTTTGTACAGCTGCATTCTCGAGACCAGCTTCTTGCTCAAGCCTATAGGGACATGACTGCTCTGTGCTGCTGGTCCCTGAGATATTGCATATGAACAGCTGTCTATCTACTCTACAGGCTTGGGAACCTCTTTGGTTGCTGTGTTAGTCACCTGTCCACCATTGTGACAGAGTTCCTGAGGAAATCAATGTGATTGGTTCTCCAGGCCTAAGCCCAAAAGTGCTTGGTTTTATTATTGTAGGCTTGTGTTGATGCAGTGAACCATAACAGGGAGAGCAGGGTAGAGGACAGCTGACAAGATTATGGTGTTCAGGAGGCAATAAGTGAGAACAAGAGACAAAATATCCTCAAGTGCACACCCCTAATGACCCATTTCTTCCAACCAGGCCCTACTTCCAAAGTTCTGAATACGATCCAACAGTCCACAACCTTATTAATCCTTAGATGCCTTAGTCCACTGATGAACTTAGAGCTCTCATGAGCTAGTTCCCTCCAGAAAGCACTATCTCTGAACATAGATGCATTAGGAACCAAGCCTGTAGCACATGAGCTTGTAGGTACACTTCAGATCAAAGCCACAAACTGCCAAGATCCTTGCTGCTGATTGCAACCCAGACTCACACTTTTCTATTTCTGAGCTTGGAGCACAGTCAGAGGCACTAAACCTTTCCATTTCTAGGCACAGCCCTTTTTTGATGTGATGGTGTGACTTCATTTATCAATCAAATTTGATCTGCATTCATCCTTACCCCAAACTATTAAAAATCTATTAATTGCAGAAATTTAAGGAAGAAGGGAAAAGCAGGCAAATTTTCACCTCAATTCAATCTATTGCTTAATTTATGGTCCCTTGTTCATGATTTTATTTCTACCCATCCTTTAGGCCTTAAAATAATTTGTCCCTTTAAAGAATCTGATTCTTCATTAAATGCTAAGATGTGATGTGTTTTTATCTATCTATCTATCTATCTATCTATCTATCTATCTATCTATCTAT